CATTTGGATGCTTTTGGCCCTTATCTTATTACTGCTTGCTGAGAGCCATAGTAAATTACTACATGAACAATCCTTGAAGTCTCATGGCAGTAAAACTACTTACAGAGTAAGGTGCTGTTGTGTATAAAACTGTACACTGGGATATAGTCTAGAGTTTTTCACAGCCCAGTATGAGATGCTAATGGCTTGATTTATCAGTATTGCTAAGGCCCCTGCCACATGTTACACTTAAGACTTGATTAATCAGTTAATCACATCTTTAACATGTAGCTGGGATACAATTTAAGTAAATAATGGCATCGTAAAACAAGGAATAAGCCACAAAGTTATGTAAATAATGCACACACACACGAAGTGATTCTTGACACTGTTAATTGAACATGTGGCCAGGTGCACCCATGTGACTGGAAGCCCTGTCGGCTCACTCCCCCTACACGAGCAGTAAGGCATTATGGGATCTGATGTTTGATCCCACAATCATACCTCCTACTGTGCATGGGTGGCATGACAGGAAATGTGACTGTGTGGATCACATATCAGATACTATTATACCTTTACCTGCATGTCTGACAGGGGCCTAAGTTTCATTTTATCCAGGTGGGAAGCCTGACAACTTACATAAATCAAGGCTAAAGAAATATATGATTTTTTAAAACTTTTAACACAAAACAAGTAACGGCCCTTAATAAGGCACTTGGGGAAGTAACTACCAATATATGTTGGGGTCACCAAGCAGTTAATTACAATAATAAGTCACACAGTTTGGAAATGCATGAAATTTTCTCCTTATGGCGGTAGCTAGTGAAAGGCCTCAATCTGTCTCCCTTAGAAATCTATTGAAAGAAGAATTTGATCACAAAATATGAATACCTAGTGTTAGGAAAGTATCGGATGAGGGTGAGTTAAGAATGAACACAGCTTAAAGCTTGATTGTTTTGTTTTGTTTTCATTCATTCAAAATACAGAAAAGAAAACAGTCCTAGAATCAGAGTAAGAAGATATATCGGTTCATACAAAAATGTCCTATAAACCCAGAGGCTGGTCCTGTCATCTTGCACAACCAAACTCTTGTTAATTTCAAATACAGTTTTTGAATCTGTTCATGATGCTTTTCTTTCTCGGTTAACTTAGCTTTGTGGGAGGAGGAGTTTGAAAAAAGACAGTGGTTGGGTTTGGCACTAGTCCAAGGATGAGAAGCAGTTCCAGGAAAAGGAATAGTATGGCAGAAAGCCTGAGGATGAAAGGAAAAGGATGCAAAATGAGCAGTATTTGAGAGGCTTGGGAGAGTGAAGCAAGTGGGAGGGAACAGGAAGAAATTAATTTTGAGGGTTTGTCAAATCTTTTAAAGTAATAACTTTAACTCAGAGTGTTGTTTGTTGCATTCATTTGATTTATTGTAACATTGGAAGGGAAGAAAGCTCTCTCAAATCTTTTCAGTAGGTGTGATAATTTTGGCAAAGGACACCTGACATAATCCCTGCCCAGTCATCAAAATCTATCATTAAAGTAGCTGTGAGAGAAGAGTGTGATCTAATGAAACCTGGCCAGAGGGTAAATACAATGTAAGTGTCATTGTAGGCTGTTGCAGTTACCTTAGACCAATGATTCTCAACTAGGGTGCTGTAGGAACTTTTCAAGGGTTGAGCTGCTCCATGTATTTCCATGCAGGGCTGGACTGGAAAGCAGCTTTGGAAGGAGGCAGTATACTGCTGCAGTTCAGCCTGAAGGGAGATCAAATAGGATATAGGTTGGGGATATAGTTGGGGATGGTCTTACTTTGAACAGGGGGTTGGACTAGATGACCTCCTGAGGTCCCTTCCAACCCTAATTTTCTTTGATTTTATAAAATTCAAGGACTGTCTGCATCCAGATTCTCCAGGCTTGTCCTTGTTTGTGTTGAAACACAGCTACCTTCAAAATATTTAAGTAACAACGTGTTCTGTGTCATATTGATTTAAATTATGGGCAGGGGTCACAAAGTTGTGCTGGACTTTCCTTTGCAATCTAGTCCCATCTTGTTTTGCTTTTGACAGTGAATGCTGTTTAATTTGTGCTGCACTTAATTTTCACTTTTAATGTATGTAATATTGGCAATAGATAACTGAGAGAAAGTGCTGAGGAAACTGGAGGCTTTGATAGCCTGGTAGAATCCTGGAGCTGCTATTAGTGCTTTGGCCTCCTGTGGCGTTTGAAACTTTTGGCAATGGCAGGGGGGTATTGTTTTACCTTCACATTTTGGGCAGGGGAAGATTTGACTTAAGCAGGAGGAGGATTGAATTCCTTGTTTCCCCATATCGGTAATCTTGGATAGTACCTAGTTGCCTCTGTGCATCCTGGCACAACATCCAGAATACAGCATGCCAGATAAACATGTCTTGGTAGTTGGTGAAATGTTTGATATTTGAATAGTTAATGGTATCCAGGTTGTAGCTGTATTGGTCTAGAGGAAAAAGAAATCAGGGCTCATGGTAGAGGTGACATATTTTATTACACCAACAAGATTTTTGCAAAAAAAAATTTCTTTAATTGCAAGCTAATTAAAGAATTTTTTTTGCAAAAATCTTGTTGGTCTAATAAAAGATAGACATCACCTCTACCATGAGCCCTGATTGCTTGAATGGTTAATAGAATTTAAATTGTATTCAGATTTCAGAGATAATGGTGCTGGAGTTAAACAGGAAGTTAATGTCTCTGAACTGCTGTTGCAGGCTCTCTGCTGACCTGGGATGGAGTTTCCATTTCCATCATTAGTGAATATTCAAATGCTGAAGGTTACCTAGTTAAACCTAATGGATGAGAACCTGGCTCCTCTGAAGTCAGAAAGATTTTTGTTGAGACTTTCCATTTCTGGAGATTTGAATACTAAAAAATGAAAATGTGGCCAGGAAGTACAGTTGTGGGGCAATTGAATATTTTAGAATAATGCAGCAGTTTAAATATCCTCATGATATGGAATTATACAGCATATGTGAATGCGTGCGGGTATGTGTGTGTGAGGGAATACCTAATATACCTGATTATATGCCAGCCACAAAGGCCAGGCTGCTCCCAGCAGGTGGCTCGGCGGCTGCAAGTACTGCTGCAAGCAGACCAGGCTCTGTGGTTGGCAGCAGCTACCCAGAGCCTGGGCTGGTTGCAGCCAGGAGGCTGCAAACATTGGCTTTAGGCTCCAGCATTAGCTCCTTACCAGCAGGTGCACACGTGCCTCGGAGTGGACGGTAGGGGAGCGGCCTGAGGCAGCACAACCCCAGCCTCTCCCGTGCTGCCGGCACAGAGCTGATGACTGGGCTCCAGAGCCCAGCGCAGCTGTTTGTAGGCATCCCGGGCTCTGGGCAGCTGCAGCAGACTCCACAGCCCTGGCATCAGCTCCATGCTGGCAGAGATTGCACTTGCATCTCAGAGTGGACAGTGGGAGGGCTGTGCCGCCTCAAGCCCTATTCCCACTGTCTGCTCCAAGGCGCACATGCACCCGCCAGTATGGAGCTGATGCTGGAGCCCGGAGCAGCTGTTTGCAGCCCCCTGGCTGCGGCCAGCACAGACTCGGGTAACTGCTGCCAACCACGGAGCCCAGGCTGCTTGCAGCAGGGCTTGCAGCTGAGCCCCCCTGACTCCCACCTGCTCTGCGCCCAGCCCTGGCCCAGCCCCCCACCAGAATGAGGCTGGCGCTACTCCTTGCTATGAGCACTGCCCCATTTGCAAGCTTAGCTGTGAGGGGTGGGTGGGTGGTTGGGCTGATGGGCAGGCTCTGGGCCGGGGCCTTGGCCAGCTGTGCTGCAGCCCAGGGGCTGGCTCCCCAGGGAAGCACGGGGGCTTTGGTGGAACCAGGGCATTGTTGGGTCGGACTTTGTCCAGTGGCCCAGGAGCCTGGCTCCATGCACCCGTGCATCTGGTTCTGTGTGTTTGTCTGCCTCTGTCTGGTTCTGTGTGTCTGTGTGCACACGTGTCTGGTTCCGGATGTGTGTGTGCATGGGTATCAGTTCTGGGTGTATTCTGGTTCTCTGTGTTTGTGCATGTGGTTCTCTGTGTGTGTTTGTATGCGTCTGGTTCTCTCTCTGCTCTCCTTTTTCTTTCTCTCTTTCTCTTGTCTCTTTTTTTCTCTCTCTCTCATTGCAACATGCTCAACAAAAAGGGAATACGCAACAACAAAGGCAACATTTATGATGATTAAATATACTAATATGCAGTGCATCCTGCTGTGTGTGTGTGTGTGTGTGTGTGTCACATTTTTTGTTTTTCTGGCATGCCGGCACCTTCCAAGATAGACATTGTGGTTTTTTCGGCATTCCAGCCAAAAATCGTTGCTGACCCCTTGTCTAGAGCAAAAAAGAAAAGTTAGTATTGTACAGTGTCGAAATGGCTGATTATTCCAACAATCAGCAAGGTACAACATGGCATAAGAATAAGCTCAGTTTATTAAAGAGGAAAAATGGGAGAAAGGAAAAGCACCTTTGTCCTAATGTAGTGAAGAGCTCTGGCTAGCATTGGGCTGCACCATAAAGTGCTTGCAAGGTCATATGCTTTATCAGAACCAATACACTCAACATTTCTCACACATATATGCTAATATATCTGGTTCTTTAAACTTTACCTATTGGATGCATTATAACCAGACAGCACAATAATAGTCCATTTTTAAATTTCCAAATTATTGTAATACTTGGAGAAACAAATCTATTTAACTAATTAGACAAGATTTTCCATTTTTTGGTTTCTGAGACTGAGTGGTTGCAGACAAAAAATTCAGACTCCAGGTGGGGCTGTGCCTCTATTCCTAGTTAGATAATTCTGTATTTTAAAAAGTCCTGTTATTACCTGTCTACAGAAAAATTAACCAAAACACAAACTGTCTCGGTACCGATTGCATAGGAAGGATTACTGAGGCCACTGTTTAGCAGTAATAAAGAATCTTGTTCATCTTCTGGCTTAATGTCTCCAATTCAGCTTGAATTTGGAAATGTATCATTATTGCGAGCATAAGCCTGCATCTTCTTTCTTTCCAGATTCGTGGATTTTTATCAAGATTTGATAACGTCCTTCCTGTGAGCCTGGCATTTGACAAGTGCACAGCCTGCTCTCCCAAAGTAAGTCTGAATTGTTCGTTTATGTCTGCTTTCTCAATGGTCACAGTTCTAAAATCATGTCCTGTTTTATAGGCAGGTCATATGGAGTCTTAAGGGCTAGTTTATATAAAGACACTTTTTTTTCTTGTTTCTTTGGGGTCTGGGGTCTAACAAAATACTACAATTTAAATAGTTTTGGCCTGACTCCCTACTTCCTAAATTATTATATGGTTTTCTTTGTGGATAGACCTGCCAAGTCCATCTCCTATTGTCTCCGCCTAAGAGCTTCATGCTGCAATATAAAAAAAAATAAAGATTATGTTCAGTTTTAGGGACACATAATAAATAGGTTTTCCCCTTAGATTTCAGCAAAAAGGCACCAAAGTCAATAAGTTGCTGTCATGTTCATCACAGAGACATTACCAAATGTTTTTTAAGCATACACTTAAAGAATAATCTTCTTTGTTTGTGGTTTGCTTGGGTCTCCTTAATTACATGAGAAATAATGCTAAGTGTCCGTCTACCTGTGCCTGTCCTACACTAGGGTATCTTTTTGCAAATATGTAAAGTTGCTTTAATGTTTGATGCCTTGCCATGAGCACTTGTATTCAGGGATAAAATAAATATCATCTTCATAATACTTTTTATTAATGAAGCTCCTTCATTTTGATACTGGTGGTGACCATCCTGAATCAGCTAATGCATTACAGCAGTTGCTAGGATTTTGAGTTGAATATTGCCAGAACACTAGTGTGTCCACTAGTGTGCGTCTATGTGAGGCCTCTTCATTCGTGGATTGTTTTCCTGTATTGTAGCCTTGAAAGCTCTTGGCAACTTTTGTAAGGTTGCGTAGACTAAGTTCAAGTAATCTTGCCTGGGATAGCTCAGTATGAAGAGGCCATGGTTTGACTCATAATTTGGCGCACATGGGAGTGCTGTTAATTCAGTCAAGTCTTCCCACTCTCTTCACTAAATTCATCCTTTGTATTCCTAATACAGATCACCAGCTTCTGAGGGACTATGGATCTTTTGACAATGAATGTACTTGTACAGGCACTACCTTTTGTTGATACAGTATTCCTGTCATTCTTTTAGGGCAGCTGACACATTAGTAGGCTCTTGGGGACTTGAATGTGCATAATCTTTTTAGGAGCTCAGGTGTTAGGCTTACAAAGTGCTTTTTCTGGGAGCACATCCCTACTTTCTTGAATGGCTGAGCAATCAGGATGTAGTAATTTTTTTCTTCTTTCCCCCAGTGCATTTTTTTTTAGAGGCTTGGTATATATCGTGTCTCCTGTCTCTCCTTTTTAAATATGTATTAAAGTACAGTTTCTGATATTTCATGTTTAATTTTCCTCTTAAACAGCTTTTCCATTGCCTATGTATCTATTCCATGAACAGATGACCCTATACTCTCATGAAGTTTTATCCAGACTTCAGATTATATATATATTTTTTTTTAATGAATTTAGAGAACAGTAAATGAAATGCAGGTATCCATATCCATTTTTGTAAGCAAATGATTTCCTCTTGATGGTCATTTTAAGAGTCCTGTTTTACATAAACTGACTAGATGATTTAGTAAAAGCTGACTTGGATTTTAGCAGCTGTGCTATTCCCATAGAGATCATTTTTCATGTGGTTAGAGGATTAAATTACTTTCGTGCTTAAAATGTTGCTTCATTGAGACACGTATTTCCTTACAGTAGAAACATAGCATTTGTTTACTTGGCTAACTTTCCCTTTATTAGCATAGGAGTATGTCAACCCTTATTATCTGGAAATCTGATACCAATACTTTGAAATGACAGATTCAATTACATTTTAATCTTAGTTCTGGATGGGAATTTTTTAATGCATAAACTTTGCATAGCTTCACCCTAGTTTATATCAGGTTTGCCACTGATTCAAATATGCTCTTCTGCAATATAAATTCTTACGGGTGTCCAAAAATCCCACTTTAACTATCTTAATTCATTTTTCTTTTTCACTAATCCTGTTCTTGAGTTGTTATTGTTTTATATATTTTAAATGAAAAGGAAAATTTTAAAATAAAAAGTCAAAAATAAAAACCTAGTGGGTACAGCTAGAAAATTCAGGAGAGGCAGCTCAGCTCTAAATATTTGAAACTTAGATTTAATTTCACTGTGAACTAACTAAGGACTTTATTGTTCTATTTCTGAAGCAGAAGAGCTCCAGACATATAAGTATCTAGCTATCCCTTAACCAGATCTATTCTGAACAGGCTACATGCCAAGGAGACTCACCTCCCTTAGGTAGTCACTCAGGAAATGTGGGATGGTCACAGGAGGGATCACTTTTGTATTACTATTATTGTGGGTTAACTATTCCTTTGTTAACACTGGACATGCACAGGCTGGAATGACAGGCAGTCTCCTCCAAGACTGCTGACTTTGATGTGCTAGCTTGATGGTAGGCCCAAGAGAGTAGTTTACATGTATGCTTTCTCTGGTATCTGGGAGTTGTACCATTGTTGGCCTGGGGAGGAAGAAGGAAGTCTCAAGTTCTTCAATATAGGATGTATCTCTTTATAAAAGCACTCATGTCTCTTGCATAAAATTAATTTTATTAAATGTTGCACAGCTAAAAGGGGCTGTTTATCATGTTCATTGCTCATTGGAAGTTGGGGACAAAACTGGATCCTTCTTTCTTGGAGAAAGTTCAGATATTATGGAGAGGGGTACTATTACAGACACGTGGAAAGGTAGAAAGGAACTGATCCAGAAAACAGTAATGCATATAAATATTTTTATTGACTTTGGTGGAATGACTCATGCTCAGATAAATTGCCGTATTAACATTTGGTTGCCTGAGAAGGTTAAGGAAGAATTATTAATGCTCGAAAATTATTTTCCTGTTTAATCATAACATTACATATTTACATTGCCACTCAAACATAACAGAATATAAAAAATATAGGTATCTGAAACCATAAATTCCCTAAACCACCCTTTTCCCATCAGATTTGCAGCACATGCTTATTCCTAGAGTTTCAGATGGATACCATTTCACATATTTTAAAGTCTAAAGTTCAACCCTCATCATGTTTGGAAAGTGTTTCTGATCTGAGAACAACCCTTTAGATCAGTGGTGCTCAATCTTTATCCTTGGCCAGCTAGCTGGGCAGTGCCCAGTCTGTCTATGGGCCAGATTAGGCCAGTAGTTCTGTTCCAGTGTCTGAGATGGGTGCAGTGGAGCCTCATTTAACTGCATGGAGGGGGGTGGAGAGCAGCCCAGCCCAGCCCAGCTCAGCTCCATTCAGCCACATGAGGAGAAGGCACATGGCTCAGCCCTGATTCAGCTGCACAGGGGGAAAGAGGTGTGGTCTGGCCCCAACCCATCCATGCAGGGAGAGGGGGTCTTGACCCATCCCTGACTTGGTTGTACAGGGGGCAGAGGATGTGGGAATTTACCAGCAGGAGAAGGTGGTGATATTAATGGCTACTGCTCCTCCATTGCCAAATTTCCCAAGCCATGGGTACACCCATGGGCCAGATGCCATGTCTCCCTGGGCTGCATTTGGCCAGTGGTCCAGAGGTTGAGTACCTTTGCTTTACATTACAGACTGTGATCACTGATACATTGTGCCAAAAATCTTTCTAGTAACACAGGGTATCACATCATAGTCTATGTGAGGAACAGATGTAAAGGGGAAGCAGTTAGGAAGCATTGAATTCCAACCCTAATCCTGAACCAGTTCCTGTTAAGCCCCACTAGGTTTGAGTGTGATCTCCCTGTCTCAAATTGTCCCTAGTTCTCTCGTGGCAGCCTTCTGGAGAGGTGGAAATGGCAGCAATCTATTCTGTATTAGTGTAAAACATTTAACAGTAGTCTTAATGATCCTATGAAGTAGATAAGTATTATCTGTTCCCAAATGGCATTTAAAGGAAATAAAACATTGACTGAAACCTAGTGCACATTAGGAAAAAATTCTCTGATATGTTAGAGGCAAGGATTTTTGTGGGTGATATCTGTTATTGAATCAGCTGCTTGGTTGGGATTGACTTAGGCAAGGTTTTGAATGCAGTATGTATCTAAGTTTATGCACGTTGGTTCAGTAAAAGATATCATCCACAAAAATCCTTGTGTCACTGGTATTTTGTGGACCATCACAGATACATCACTCAGCACTACCATTCCTGATATGTTGCTACTTTTGCTAGTCCTCCTAGAAAAGGTTTATACCACCATAGTTTGGTATCAAAGCATACAGGCTGCTGACAGACATGGAAAACGAAAAATAACTCTCTAATGGAAGAAGAAGTACATCAGCTTGACCTGGCTCCCCAATGTCTGCATAGATCAGGTGCTTTAGCAGTGCTTTTTGTCACTGATTCAATCAGCTATTAGATAAAAGCATCAAAAAGCTTTTATGTAGCTCATGATCTATACAGATGTTGGGCAAGCCGGGTCAAACTAATGTGATGCCTCTTCTGGGCATGTGCTGCACTTGGTGCAGGGATGTACTGAGGTGAAAATAAAGCACTGTTTTGGGGTTTGGGGGTTTTTTTTGTGGGGGGAGGTTTCCCACATCTGTAAGCATCTATAGATTGCTAGTATAGATTAGTAGCAAAATGAAGAGATCATAGCTTAAATTTGCTGAAGAATTTCTGCTGCTTAAAACTCTATCAACACTAGGGCTTTTAACTACATGGATAAGTTATAGGAAATCTCACCTGTAACGAGGGAAGATGCTCCAAAGCTGGTAGAACCTAGTAATGTAGGTCTGGCCTGTGAGGCTGAGTGACTTTAAACTGTCCATAGAATTCAGTGATGGAAGGCTTTATTGACTTCTTCCATAACACAGCCCATTGTGTTTTACCCGTTTACCATTATATTTGTTTTGATACCTTGCAGCTGATGACAGTTGGTTTAAATTTTGAAATTGGCCCCTGTAAGCTTGCAAATGTACATACTGTTGGTTTGGTGCTATTTTCTGCTTGCACAAAGTAAATGCAACGAGATTGTTATCACTGGCACTTGTGTAATCCATGTTTGTT